TGAGAATGCACTCTTTTGTATGTTCTTTCATTTGTATGGATAAGCAAGGAAGAATGCATGAGGAGTACTATGTGAAATATTATGCCCTTTTTTCATTATTCACATTATTTCCCATTAAAAACACTATGGTATGCTATACATTCACTCACTCTTTATCCCTAAATCTGTTAATATTAGAACCATAGGTGCTTTTCATTCCAGACATGATTGTAATACCACAGTAATTAAGAGACATTGTACAGGTATCCTTCCTTCTTTGAGGTTTACTACTGGATTGTTCATTGAACTAAAACTTCACTAAGGTTTTGTTAATCAGATTGTTGTTTCAATGATTCTCGCATCTACACAGACTGATCTGCTTACTTTTTTTTGTGCAAGTTTCTGACTCAGCAGTGCTCAGAGAAAAAGAAGGTTTATTAAATAGTTCAGGTTTGGTTGGTTTTTTTCCCCTGGTTTGTGTCAACTAAACAGAAAATACAGATGCCAGAAAGCATTAGAAAGATATTGCACTCCCCATCATTACCACATCAAATATTCTCTTAACTGGATAGACTTCCATTATAACTCTATCACATATACAGGCTAAACATCGTTGTTGCCATCTGCCAAAAGGTGTAGCATAAAGACAGCATGCCTGTGGTACTCCAACTTGTGGTTCCTGGAGAATGTAGAAGTTGCCATCTGCTTCTTTCTGTCATTCTCTGCATGTAGATTACACAGCAAGACTGTGGAGGAGATCTTGCCTCCTCTGGAAAATACTGTCAGACTATAAAAATGGCTCTGACAATTTACTGCCACTTCTGCAATACCAGCAGTTGTGTACAGGGAACAAGCCTCACCCGCTGTAAAACGCTGAAGTCCTTCACTGAGATTTAACTGGCACTTCAGTGTGACTTTATCTAAAGACAGGCAAATGTGAAAAGATCTCATGCACTGTTTTACTAATACACTTATGCTGTTGTTCTGTCCAGGCCATAGGATTGTTTAGGAGACAGGCTGTGAAGCTACCTAAGTTGCTTAGGAGCAATGAGAATTTTTTAAAAGAGATTTTCTTAAATGTGTTAATGCATGCAGTTCACAACAGAAATTCTGTCTTCCTTGTTTTCTTAATTTGGAGGGCAGGGGAGAAGGAGATGGTTTTAATTAAAATAGGAGCTATCGTTATTAATCTCTGAATGAATTGAATCAGGATGAAGTAATTTATCATAATTTTAAACTCATTGCTGAGAAACTGTGTTCAGGTCTCCATTTTGGCTAAACCTTTAGATCAGGCCAGAGGGGTGTGAAAAAGTATGTAACATTATCAGAACTCAAAAAGATGTCTAGTGTACTGCAGAGAGCATAACTTCTCTGTTTCTGAGGATGCACTGGCAGTTTCTGAAGTGCACCTTCATGGAGTGAGCTCTTCTGGCAGAGAGGTGCTGTGGCTCAGTCATGGGCTAAAGTTCTCCTTCCTGAAAAAAGTCTCTGGATTTGTTTATACTCAAAACTTGATCCTTTCAGTAATACCTGTATACTTAACTAAAGTGTAGATGCAGATATACTAGTACTAAAAACCAGATTTAGTTCAGGCTTCCTTACAGCCGTAAAGAAAGGGATAGTATTGTTTGATGTGAATCACCAAAGCAATAATTGCTACATAAAAAAATTAACTGACATAAAATCTGTATAAAAATCAGTAAATATCCAGCCTCCATGAAGATTGGAAGTCATCACAGTGTTATCTTCATTTTTCAACTTTGTAACCATAGAGAAGGCTGAGAACAATGAAGCCTGTTGTTAAGACTTTACAGTTGTCATATTGTATTGTGCTATTATAACATTAAATTGTTACTACAATGAGACAGATGAGAGAGAACTGGAAATAGTCCCTCAAGACAGCTAAAATGTAGAAACTTCATTTTTCATTCCATGGGAAGAGAATCTCTCCTGCTTTCCTGTAAAATAATGTTTCAATCACTGTTGCTGAAGAGTTGCAAACAGCTGCTTACCTCAGTATGTACATGAAAGAACAAAAGCACTTCAGAGCAAGGGCTACAAGAATAAATATCATGAGGGAAATACTCTCTCTCACCATTATGAAGTAGTTTGGAAAGTAAATAGGTCTTAACTGAATTAGTTGAAAATAGTTGCAATCCTTCTCTCATTATATATAGTAAAAATAACAATAAACTCACTAATCTATCCAAACATTTGTCTTCTATGTTCTTGGAGCTGAAAAAATAGCAGAAAAAATACTAAGTAGTTTAGATAAACACATTTTGATTATATTCCTGCTTTTCCTACTCACTGTTTACATGATGGTTAATTCAAAGTTAACTTACAAAAAATGGCTTAAACCCCTGGATTGCCTTTATTGATATAGGCATAATATTCTCCAAAATTAAACCTGAGTATTCATGCAAATCTAGTCCTATTATTATCATGTTTTCAAGAGAGATACAGAAAAGAGAGAATGATAGGAACAACTGAATAATCATCAAAGATGGAGTACAAATGAAAGTGTGGGTTTGCAATTTGTGAAAGCAAAATGAAGATTTGGCATTGAAGGCATAAGGAGGTGGAAGAACTCAATCTTCAGCCAAGTGACCTTCGGAAATAATAAAAATACAAGGCATACACAGGCACGCTTAGTGTCGCACTTCTGTGCAAATATGTTCTTTATATGTCCTTGTCACTGTGTGGCCTATGAATACTTCATTTTTCCTATAACAGTGATGAATGAACGAGGAGGTGACTAACATCACAGGATTGCTGACTGGCATGTAATCTTTAAAACTGCATAGTGGAACATTACACCAGTGTGGAGAACTCCTGCACATTGCTCTACAGCACTAACTAAGGTATATCAAGTGGACTTTGAGCTGCACAAACCACTGTAGGTGATGGTATCTCACAGGGAATGTGCACATGAAAAATCATCCAGTAACCAAACCTAGACAGGAAAACTCTGATGTAGTGAATGATAGTGAGAAGTGAAGGTGAAATGAAAATTATCAGGGTTTACATAAATAATTTTACCAAAAAACATATGCAGTATTTCACAAAATACAATTCTGTATTTGATTATCATGTAATTTATCAGTGAAAAATTTCTCAAATTTTAACAATTTGCCTTTGAAAAGAAAGACTTTCTAACCCAAACTGAACTTATTTATTCATAGAACATAACTTCTTCCTTCACTTACTTTGGGGTCATACAATTTGCAGATAAATCATTTCATTTGTCCTTGTTAAAAAAGGTGTAGAATTCTATTTATGTATATTTAAATTACATCTAAACTATGGGAAACACTCATATTAGCATCAAACATAAGCATTTAATTCCTCATGTACTCCATTCCTACATCATCAACAGGCCAAGACAATTCCAAATCTACACCACTGAATCAATATCCTGACAAATGAACTTGATGTATCACTCCATGGAAATCTGTAACACTTATGGCAAAATGCTAAACTAATGGGTATATATTGCTGAAGGGAATTGCGTTTACCCATGAAGGATTCTTTACAGATAAAATTTTAAGGTCAGGCTTGGATCCACTAAGCTAAGTTGAAGGATATGGCTATACAGAGTTTGAAATAATATTTACGGTGAAGGCCAATGGTTTTTCAAAATGGGCATATGAACTGGTGTATAGTCCATATGCAGCTTATATTTACAAATTCCATTTTAGAATGCCAGTTACAAAAATGTTTAATTCTACAATTAAAGGCTCTTCCTGATGTTACACTTGGCTCCCTTACGGAATTCTTAGGGATAAGACACTCCAAAAGCACAGGAAATAAAAATACTTCTCTTTTAGAAAAGTTAGTTGTGAGGGTGAAATATATCGCCATTTAAAAAAATAAATCATAAATACAGAGAAAAACTATTAAAATACAAAAGATTAAAAATTAGTTAAATCACTATCATGAATTATTCCTTTGTATTCCTGACTACTTTTACAAGAAGGCAATTCAGTCATCTTTCAAACCTCCAATTAAATAATAGTAAAAGGTATTTTCCCTCCTGTTATCTTTCAAATTAAAATTAATTTGCAATGGATATTGATGAGTTTCTATATTTAAAGGTTTATTACAAGTCTTCCAGCCAAAATATGTATACTTCTATACTTCTTTTGTAAACATATGTTAGATGGAGTATTATTTTGCAAAACAGAGCCCAGTATATTTACCATTAATATAAAAATCTTTAGTATTCTCCCTATCATAAGATATCCACTAGCTGCAGTGGAGGGGATTAATAATTTTCAGTAAACTTCTTAAGATATTAACTTAATTCAATTCTGGACTTTAAATGCAGTTAGAATTTATTCATACTTGTTCATACACGACTGTGATTTACATATGGTAAACCAAACCATACTCTTTAATACCTTTTTGTAACAACACAAAAGCAATTTGGACTTTTAAAACTGAATAGAGGTCTACACATACAGCATAATAATAATAATAATAACAACAATAATAATAATAACTACTTTATTTGAATAACTTCTTCAGAAATGGCCTCTATAGATATTTATGGAGGATAAAGAATATCTGGTTTAAGGTTTCCAGAAAGACTGGGAAAAAGAACACAAACTCTTAGTAAACTAGTACAATTTGTCCTAAAATGTTTGTTTACTGTTTTGGATCTTTTGATCTTCTAATCCATGTCAAGTTTTAATGAAAACTTTATTAGTAGAATTATTAGCTTATGATCCTCATTTCTGTGTTAAATGCCTTCATTACCCACAAGACACTTGGTTTTAATGTGCCTAGAATAATAGGCCCTGGTCTATGATTGAATTCTTCTGAATCAAGAAAAACAGTAAAAGTAAGCTCATTGAATTTTACACTGAATGCAAGAATTAGCCAGGATAGGGAAGTAACAGGGATTAAAACACAGGTTTTAAAATGTGTTCTAAATGTGTATATGAGTATATAAATTGACAAGCTGTCCTGTTAAAATTCCTATCCTGTATGTGTCTGTAGAAAATAAACTAACGTGCCCTTGAAATAGTATCCTTTATAAAACTCTCTTCAGCTGTGTACAGGTGCTCCTCATTCATCTGTAAAGAAAAGATCTTTATTGTTTCAACTATTTTGGCTACATCTGCTCCCATGCAGACAGAGTATTACACTGCATATGTGATTTATTAACATTTAAAAAGGCTAATATTTTTATTTTTTAAATCTATATAAATCTTATATCATTTTAATTCCTACTAAATCTTATGTTTTCTTATTTAAACCTATATAGCTTTGTCATAGTTCTATTTGAACAAATGAGTGATGTTACTCAAGATTAATGTTTGCTTGTCTGTTTTCTTAGAAGAATCCTGACAGCTAGAAAACTGCATATTAACTAGTCAACGTCATCTCACCCACTTAAGAAGATGAAAATTAAACCCATGTAGCTATTTATTAAAAATACCTTCCACACCCCCAAAACACCCTCTTATCTTCACAAGTGAATCAATTTTGCTGAAATTCTATTAAAAGATGTCAAAAGATCTTGTTGAAACTTTTCCTTGAATGTCAAATAAATATTACAAGTCATGAAGAACTCAAAAATGTAAAATACAAGATAAAGAAAGAAAGATTAAAATAGAATTTAACATATATTGGGAAAGAAGATGTGAATAACCAGAAAGTAGCTCTTCAATATTTTCATAATTTTTACTTATTCTTAGTGATTTTTAACTCTAGTTATTGTATAGGTGCTTAGTTCTATAAATAAATACTCATATTTATATCCAATAAATATATATACAAATACATCCAGAAATAATTATTTGAATTCATTTAGACTATAAAATGCTTTAGTTTAAGTTTTCATATTTTAAAAATATTCTTTTTTGAGTCTTTTAAATCATCTGGAAAGAAAACAAGAACAAAATTACTAAGAAAATAGGAGTCCATGCCTAAAAGATTTTTAAACTTACTGAAATTATATATTTTACAGAGGCTCTTCATAAACAGTATACATTCAAATAAGGAAAATGGCAATATTTTTAGTATAAACATGCATTTTGAAAACAACTTCTATATACTGAAAACATGCCTCACCTTAACATTAAAAGAAAAACCAAATAAACAAACAACATTTCTACTATGATAAACATAATCAACTGCAAGGTGCTTGATTTCAAACCAAAACCCAACAATGGAAAAGAGAAAATCTTAGCTGAGCAAAAGATAATGTAGAAGAACTAAAAATGGAGTATCATTATTATTATCAGAGAAGAAGGAACAGACTAGATGAAACTTCAACTTCAAACATAAAAAGTGCAGTGAAGTATAAAATAAATTAAAAGACATTTAATGAGCAGGAAGCAGGGACTGGTACTGCAAGAAGATTTTTCTTTCTTCAGGTTACAGAGAAAGAGAAAGTTGCAAGAAGATTAATATAGATTTAACAAAACATGTTCTCAGTATATATAAAATAAAGAATCGATTTTGTCTTTGTTGAATCCTGTGTGACATTTCAATGACTCACAATTTCCTTAAAAACAAGATGTGCCTTAGTACCTCATTAAGCATCACAGTTTATACCTTTACATAAAATCTGCATATCTGCTACTAAAGGACTATATATCTCAAACTGGTATTGACATGTATGCTGTTAGTCTTCCAGGTCAGTCTACAGGTTTTATTCTTCAGACAGATATGGCAAGATTTCCATCTGTCATTTGATGAAAAAAAGAAACAATTGCATTTTAGACTAAGCAGTATTTTAAATGAGCTCACATTTTAATGTCATGCCATTGGAAAAAAAAATTCCTCATCCAACATTACTTAATGCTTAAAATGCAAAATTATTCACATTGCAGGATATACTAAGCATAAAGCATGTTTTTTGTTTTCACAACACTGAAATTAGTTTTCACTATTTTCCTTGCTTTTATGAACATTGCATTACTGATTTATTACTTGTTAGCACCTTTTTTTCTAACAAAAGTATGATTAAATTTATAGCACTTTGGATAATTTAGTATTGTAATGTTTACTAAATTTGAGAAATCAGGTAAGTCATCTTGCAAATCCCTGGAGAGTTTATAAAAGCAAGTTACAGTGACCCAGCATTATGTGCGTCCTAAATTCTCAGCAAGTGAACAACCACTGCTGGAAACCAACTGAGCTATACATTGATTTAAACATGTAATGCAATACCCAAAAAGATAAGGGTCTTAGAAAGTAGAAAATTGGCTTTAATACCATTTTCCATAAGGAAGAAAATGAGTTTCATACTGTGGAAGTCAAGTCAATTGAAAACACATAAATCTAACAAGCCAAGTAGGAACTTTTGGGTGACACAGTTATACTTTATTGCTCTGATTGAAAAAAAAAAAAAAAAAGGCTTATTTTCCTTTTTTTTTTTTTAAGGTAATTAATTAATCTTTTTTTTTTCTTGTATTATCTCAACCCCCAAGTAAGTAACATAACTACTTCTTTCATCTTTCAAAAAGATAGGGAAAAAAATACATTTTTCTTGCAAGTACTCATAAGTGGGAAGGGCAGTGATAGCCTCAGAGTAAGCATAGTGGAAATTATAACACCATAGAAGAAACATAAATGACAATTTGGTTTTCCTGGACACAACTCATCTTACAGGCCTGTTCCTCTCTAGGTGGACCTAAACGACTGCTTACCGGCCATTGAAGACCACATTACCCAGCAACAGCTGCCTGTGCACTCTCTCTTTACAGACTCTTAAAGAAAATATTCTGCATTTCAGCTTGTACCAGCAGAATTATTAATAAGCAACTGAATGCATATACATCCTCAGCCACACTATACTTAAGTCTTATATGTATGTATGAAAGCCTTAAAATAAATATAATATGAAAGGCTTATAATACTCTAAAACATTATAGAAAATGTCACCTAGAAATTATTGTTGAAGACCCTACTAATTATTCATTCAATAATATTAAATGAAATATTAATAAATATTTTATTAAAACATTTTATAATAATTAAGATCATCATAAGAGTATTTTGTCATATGAAACAAATACCACTTTACACATCTATTTCTATCCTGAAAATCCCACAACACACTGAAAACCAGTGACTTTGGTACTGATGGTGTTGAGGATGCAAAATACCCCTCACAGTAAGATCTACATTTTTAACAAATGCTCAGACAGTAACTTTGGAACACAATGGGGGAAAAAAAACCCAGAAAATAAGAACTAATTACAAACTATTTTAACTTTCAAAATAACACTGTGGTTTCTGTACCTTCTGAAAAAGCAACATAAGCCAACTGCATTTACATAACCTGCCACAGAAAGGATTACCTGAGTTCTGAGGGAGCCACACATCCAAGTGCTGCACATTGTCATTATTCAGCAGCAGAACAAATCTTGATATGAGGCAAGAACTGTCAGCCTTCCTAACAACAGGGAATTATGTCACCAGCTGAAAGATGCACAACAGGGTGATCTCTCCAGTTCACAGCATGTTGCTTCGTAGTGCAGATTGCATGAAAAATTCCAAATGTCTTACGACAAGGATACCCTGATCTCTATTCTATGTAAAAGGAGACATGTTTAGTACATCATTTGAACTGAAATATGGGCAAGGAGAAGGATATTGCCACACTGAAAAAGTCTCTGCAATACAGTGAAGCAACACGCTAATTTTCCTACAGGAAACCTGGCAAAATTGCTGCAAACGCCTGTCAAGAAAGTACCAAAAGAGTATTTGTGATTATTTCACTGTGGTCGAATATGCATGACCAAAATTCTACTAGCTGAATGCAGCTGAGAATGCAAATTGGATCCATCTTAAATGCTTTCACGTCTGTTTTTCTATCCACAGTAGGTAAAGCTACTTTATTCTAAATCTGCATGTGATATCTTAGTTTTGCTTTTGACCCTTTAGAAATGTCAAAAGTAAGTAAAAGGCCCAGTAGATCTTCCTCATACTTAGAGGATACACACTCAGTTTGTGTTTCAATTCAGTCACTCTGACTGGTTGAAATAGACCTCTCAAACCCTTTCCTACCCACTCACTTTAGTAAGAGCACGGTGAGTACATTCACTCTAATTTGGTAATCCCATATCATGGAATGGTTTGGCTTGCAAGGGACCATTAAAGATCATCTTGTTCCAACACCCCTGCCATGGGCAGGTATATTTTCCACTAGACCAGGTTGTTTGAAGCCCCATTTACCCTGTTCTTGAACACTTTTGGGGATGGGGCATCCACAACTTCTCTGGGTCCCTTGTTCCAGTGTTTCACCATCCTCACAGTAAAGAATTTCTTCCTTATCTCTAGTCTAAATCTAGCCTTTTTCAGTTTAAAGCCATTTCTCTTTGTCCTGTCATTACATGCCCTTGTAAAAAGTCCCTCTCCAGATTTCCTGTAGTCCCACTTTGGGTAATGGAATGTGCTGTCTCCTCAGAGCCTACTGTTTTCCAGGCTTAACAACCCCAAATCTCCAGCCTGTCTTCATAGAAGAGGTGCTCCAGCCCACAGATCAACTTCATGGCCCTCCTTTATACTTCCTCCAACAGGTCAATGTGCTAAGGACCCCAAAACTAGATGCACCACTCCAGGTGGGGTCTCACCAGAGCATAGCCGAGGGCAAAATCATTATTTTTGTAAGGCTGTATCAGCAGTCTTGGCCAAAGTGCTTCAGTGATTTATTTAGTGTCCTAAATTGCTCTCAAACTCTGTGCCTTTATCTCTTCTGTTGCAATATTGGCTTATCAAACTTAAGTTTGAAAAGACATGAACAAGGGTAAAAGTGCTGTAGCACTGCTGCCACAGAGGACACACTCATGGCAAAAGATGATACTTGTGTCATGCAAACTCCTTGTGTATCCATGCAGAACAGAATCATAGTTGGCATTGTAAGTATAGACTTTAATAAATCCTGCCATCCTAGAATACACAGGCAGAGCCAAACCAATGGCAACCCAATTTGTACCACATGCATTTCCAGTACCATTAAAAATACATGTATTAGAATAGCAAAGCAGACAGAAGTATGTGCACTGTAATGCACACTCATAACAGCATTAGAGAAAGCAAATGTGTATAAAGAAAAGGCCAA